AATGGTCACATTTAGCTTTAAGCAAATAATAACCTCATAACTTTAACTGACTTCCAAAGATTGTTATAAGATTTTAGAAATAAGGACAGAAAGAATTACAGACCTTTGACATGGCTGCCCTCTACTGACCTAAGATATTTCCTATTTCAACAAAGAAATTTTATGAAATAATGTTCTCTGAAATTTCTAAGTTTCTTAAATTACAGGATTTAACTAAAACACTGTAACTATAAAAATGTAAAGACCAAGGTATAAAATATTAATTACTGATATGGCTCTCATTTGCATGTGGAAATTCAAGAAATAAATAAAAATAATGACACTAGCTCAAATAAAGAGACCCTCTACCAGATTATCATTTTGTTTTCTTCTCTTTATAAACAACATAGGTACTCCCAAGATTTCATAGAAACTGAAATATCTGCTCATTTTGTCATAAACCCATATATTGGATATAAGTTAATGACTAAACCTCAAATGAATGCTTGCTTGAGACTCAAACTATATAATAAAGACACTGATGTAAATTAAGAAGTGGCAATGTTAAAAGAGGTGAAAACTAAGTATAAAATTAATCATATGAGTATTTCCTCAAGAGAATATAAAAGAGAGTGCATAATATCATGCTTATTAGTGAGACAGTATTAAAATAAAATCACTGAAAACTTGGAACAAGGTAGCATTTTGTTAAAAAAAAAAAAGAGTATCTTCCCATGACTGGCATGATTAAAACTTCCAAAGAGATAGAAAGGAACAGGGGAGTAAATTGCTTTTAAAAAAGGAGGAACGTCTTTCACATATGGTCATTTATAAAATAGATATAGATCATATAGAAAGATTGCTATAGATCTAGAGATGCAAATCTTATTGAAACTGTAGAATCTAGAAATTTTTATTTCCATAATCTTGTCTAGAAGTCCTTATAGGCATTCTAGTACATCCAAGCAAGAATTTTATTATATATTTATATAACAATTTTATATATATATATATATAAAACAGCTGCAAAAATCCTACACAAAACAGTATCAACTAGTGTCACTGATGTCTATGAGGAATTTGGAAAGAAATTTGCACTTTAAAATCAAATCTGATAACATATTTGCTGATGTTAATATTAAAAATCATCAAGTTTCTTCTAAACCATAGCTACCATGTGACCATTTAGAACAGTCCATTGGGTTTCCTAGACCATAATTTTTATGGTATAACATTGCAAAGTGATTGTATTCTAGAATTACTGATGGTTTCAAACTGCCAGGTTTTCAGTTAGTCACCAAGTACTTAGTCACTGTATCACCAGGGCCCCTTGTCCATTAACCCACTGTTACCTGGTGAATTTTGACTCATCATTACCCTCCATGTGTCTTTTTAGAGGCAAGGATGGTGAAAATTTCTGTAACATATTTTGGACATATCAGAAGAGGCTAGAACTTTGAAAAATACATTATGCTGTGAAAGGTAGAGGGTAAAAGAGAGAAAGACCCTCGATGATATATATTGACACAGTGGCTGTAACACACGACTTACACATAAAGGTGATTGTGGTATTGGTAAAGGATATGAATTGTACAATTCTACCACACCTACATACAACAACAGTATAGTGTTTCTGAACCTATAAATATGTATGAAAGATTAGCTACTTTGGTACCTCAAAACAGGAAGAGTCATCATTTTATGTTGGGATGCAGAAAAAGAGCTAATTTGAAAACAAGGAGATATGTAACAACAACAACAACAATAATAATAAAACCAAAGGACAAATCTATACCCAGAAGCAAAACCCTTCTCTATCTAACCCTATTTCACTGTTTGTGGAGTTTATCATTCAAAATTAATTTTATAACCAAAGAATGTGACTTTGCCTTGTGGAAGGGTGAGAATAAATGCATCAAGAGAGTTAGCCTATCCACAAAGGGATCGGTTAGTCTTGCCATTAAATTAAGCAGATTCAGCAGCAAAAGCAGAAGGTCTTCTTCACCAGCAAAGAAGATGTAAGAGAATGCAGCATGTCCTTCAGGCCCAGAAATTCTTGCACCAGCTAAGACCTACAGCTGCAGCAGCTATGGTTGAAGCAGAAAACCAGAGAACCAACATAAATGGAGCCAATCTTGAGACTTCTATCTCCAACAGACAGAACCAGAGCTCAGTAAAGAGCCTTTGCCCAAGTTTGCTGGACCTCTGGGGGGTTTAGGGACTATACTTTGTAGTACTAAGAATGAATGTGGCACTGGCTTGAAGCTGTGAGCTGCAAGGCTGAGGTGTTGGCCAGCATATTTTTTTTAACTCTTCTAACTGTATTCTGCTACTTACCTGGATCATAATGTTGTGCCTTTCCCATTATGGTTCTGTGTGATCTGGGATTTGGTTAATGTCAGATTTGGCCATCCTCACATTGTCCTTGCTCTTTTACAGTTTTGTGTGGATATTTAAATGAAGTTTATGCAACTCTAGTTCTTCACTTGAATTAAGTATGCACTTTCCCTCTACAATCTCTCTTAAAATTCTGGATTTTTCTCGTGAGTATAGGTAACTGAAGTAGGGGCAGGGCAGCGGGTGGCAAATATAAGGTAAAAGGGAGCTCTGGTGGCCTAGTGGTAAGAAGCTGTGTTGTAAAATCCCAAAGGCATGCAGCTCGAATCCACCAGATGCTTTGCTGGAGAATAAGGAGCAATCTCCTCCTGTGCCAGTCAGATTTGATTAGATGGTATACAAAAAGGAAAAAAAATGATAAGGTAAAGTAATTGAAAAGAAGACTTCAAAGGACAGCTCAAGAATATGAGTATTATCATTAAACATGCAAAGACCTGTAGTTAGAAAACCAAAAGGGGAAAAGTGTCCAGCTTTTCTCAATCAGAAAACACTGAAGTGAAAAATTAAACCTTGAAAATGGCATTACTAAATAACATAAGAAACATCAAATGAAGCTGGAAGATAAACACAGTCACTGTGCCAAAGTGAATTGGTCAATGTTCAATAATTTTAGGATGTACTATATGATAAATAATGAATTGTACTGAAGGAAAAAAATCGAAATTGTATTGAAGGCACTGACCAAAATCAAGCCTTCAGGAATTAACAGAATACCAAGTAATATGTTTCCACAATGGATGCAAGTTTGGATAGATTCACCATGTTAATCAGCTGAAAGGCACTGAAGTTATGCCTATTTCAAAGAGAAGTGAAGTTACAGAATGAATAAATTGCAGAACAATGGCTTTAATATAAAGTACAAATAAAATTATACTGATATTAACCCTAAAATGATTGTTCCAGTATCTTAATAAGAAATTTACATGAATCCAAGCCAGATTTAGAAGAAGGCTTGAAAGGAGAAATACTGTTAGAATATCCTCCAGAGGTACGCGGTTCAAATCCACCAGATGTTCTGCTGAAGAGGAAGGAACAATTGCCTCCTGTACCAGTCAGACCAATTTGATGGTACACACATAAACTAAAAATTAAAAAAAAAAAAAGAATATCCTATGGACTTTGGCTGAAAGTAGAGAATACCAGAAAGAAGTTTACTATATTTCATTTACAGTTAATTGCATTCAATTGCATGAATCATAAATTATGACTAACTCTGAGAAAAATGGAAACACCAAGACACTTGTGTCATAATACCTGAACAAAGATTAAGAAGTTTGTTCTGACAATATATGAGAATCCTACATGGTTTAAAATAAGAAAGGTGTGTATCTCAGACTTACTAAATGTGTATGCTGTGAAAACAATTCAAGAAGATGGACTTATAAAGAGGAATGAAGCATCAAGACTGAAGGAAGATTCACCAACAACCTGTTAATATAGTCAAGTGAAACAACTTTGCTTGCTAAGTAAACTTGAAGCACTTAATGAAGATCAAAGATCTTCAGTATAGATTGTACCTCAAGACCAAGAAAACAAAATTCTTCACAACCAGATCAATAGACAGAAACATGATAAATGGTAAAATGATTAATGTTGTCACTTCAATCTAAGGTTTTCACTTACTGGATACATAATTAATACTCATAGAAGCAGCAGATAAGAAAGCAAATGTATTACACTTGGTAAAATCCAGCAAAATAACTCTTTAAAATAAAAGATACTATTTTGAAAATTAAGATGTGCCTTACCTAAGTCATGGCATTTTCAGTAACTTTAGTTCTGGTGGTATAGTTAATAAGCAGTCAAGAATTCTACCTCTGAGCCACCCATGCTTGGTATAGTTAGTAGGGAGTTGTACTGTTAACTCAAAGGTGGTGTCTCCCTGACAATTTAAATCCACTAGTGACTCTAGTGTACAGAGATGAGCAATCTCCTCTCATGAGATTTACAGCCTCCCAAAAACCAGTGGAGGTTCAGCTATGAGTTGTTTCTGACTCATTCATTAAGAATGAATTGGAGATCTTTGGTTTCACATGCATGAGAAAGCTGCAAAGAGAGAAAGAAGCATGATAGAGATGATGCCTTTGAATTCTATAGTTGCTGAGGACTATTGAGTACAACATGGACTGTCATAAAAACAAATCTGTTTTGTGAGAATTACAGGAAGAACAGTCTTTATTTCTAGGACTATAGGATTTTTTTTCTCACTTGCTTGGGAAGACTATCAATGAGATGAACTAACACAGTGCCTACAACAATGGGTTTAAATAAAGTAACAATTGTGAAGATGCAGCACGGAGATGTATTTCTTTCAGTTATAGGATCACCATATGTAATCTTTACAGAAGTGTAGTGCCATTATCTTTTTTCCATAGCACTGTTGAGTGAGTTCAAAACATATACCTTTCAGTTACCAAATGACTGCTTAATCATTCACTCCCAAAGCATTTTTATATTGTCTCTTTAGAAAAATACTAATCCTCCTCTGAGAGTACAGTAGTTCAAGAAAGCCTTTCCATTTTCTAGTTTCAGGGCTGTTATCCAGTCCCACAGGAACATATCTCCCAGATAGACTAAGTGGTTAAGGGTGTGCATGTGACTCTCTCTCAGCTAGTGAGACATACTTGAGTTTTCCTGGAACAATCAAGAAAAAAAGAGTTTTCTGGGGATTTCTGGCTATGAAGACAATGACTCCCATAACTATTTTTGCCATGATACGTGTAAAATATCTGGAGAATGAAGCAGACATAAAGCAAAACAGAACCAAGAAACAAAATAATCCTGCTGAAATGAATACAAATCTTGGATGAAGGTATCCTTGAATATTAATTCCTGAACTTCCCAGTTGCAAAACTGAAGACATAATTGTCTCACTATTGTTATATTTTTCTCATTTGATCAAAGTTTCTTTCTATTACTTAAATTCAAAAATTCAGAAAGAAACATATTAAAGTTAGAATCTATGAAGCTTTCTTGGACGATCATAGAGGGAACTCTAGTGGCCTGATGGTAAGAAACTGCACTCCAATCCCTTCAAAGGCCCAAGATTTGAATCCCCCTGCTGCCCTCTGGGAAAATTATGGACAGTCTCCTCCCATGTTATTTAATGCTTCAGAAAACTCACTAGAGTTTCAGCTATGGGTAATTTGTGACACAATAGCACACAACAACTATCATTGCTAAGCTCTAACTGCTTAAGTTTTAGGGAAAGTTCTTTTCATCAGTCACCATTTTATAGATATGCTGCCTGATTCTGTAATGTATAACTCATGCTTATACACAAGTAAGTTATTTCACATAGTAAGTTACACTTTAATATGCTTATGTGCTTCAATTAGTAACAGGAAATGTATATTTATCCGAAATACTTTTAATGATATTTCAGCTTGTATTGTAAATTGACAACCAACTACTCAACGCCAAACCAAACTTTACCAATTCAAGATGACTTGAGTGTATGGTTTCAAAAACTCTGAATCTAACTCAACACTACAGACACCCAAATATTTACTATTTAATTAATATTGATCCCTGTAAGACCTAAGGGAGTTCTAGGGGTCTGGTCATAAAGAGTTACACTGCAAGCTCCAAGGCATGCAGTCAGAATCCAACAGTTGATCTAAGAGAATGTGTAAATTATTGAATGATAGCATTAATATCACATGCAACTAAAACATGATGAAGATCATTTGGTGTTTTGTGTTTTTTTTAAATGGCTAGAACAAATATATCCATAGAGCTGGCATAGTTCAAGCTGGATTTAGAAGAAGACAAAGCAAAAGGAATTGCCGATGTCAGATGGATTTTGGCTAATGGCAGAAAATACCAGAAGAATGTCTGTAAGGCATTGTATGACCCTGCTGATTCTTCATGGAATCTAAATCATGACATTTCTCTTTTATAACATATAAAAATACAGTCAAGTCAGAGCAGACTCTGAAAAGTGAGATACAAAGTGTGATCTCAAAAGAACTGCAGGACTTTACTAGTTTAAATAAACAGACATCTAGAGAATATATGGGAGGGTAAGATAAGAGTGAAAGGTATAGAAATTTGAAAAACTCTGAAATCTTAAGGTACTATAAGACTCTAACAGTGTGATTGGTTGGATGACTGAAATACGAGCTGAATGGTAGGCTACAGTAAATCATACTGAAATGGTAGACCAGCCTTTGTGTTTTCACTCTGTTATGCATAGGGTTGCTATGTATAGAAACCAACTAATGCCACCTAACAACTTCAGGAAAAATGCTTAAATTTAATCTGTCTAAAATGAACTGTGGTTATGGTTGTGTAACTATGCAACTATATTATAAGTCTTTTAATAAAGTGATTTAAATGTATATATTCTCTAATATGTAAATTATTATATATTAAAATTTTATTGTTTCCAAGAAACTGTATAGCATTTAATTCAGACCCATATGATACACAAAAAGTCAAAAAATTTTCAGTTAAAATGAGAAAAATAACATCCACAGAGAAGAATGATATTACATATTTTGGTATTATCTGAGGAAGATTTGTAAATGGTTATTTTTAAAACATTGCCAATAAGTAAGGCAAAATACTTTTCAAGTGAAAAGAATGATAGAAAAATCTTAGAAAAGAACTAAAAGACACTAAGATAAACCAAATAGGATTTCAGAATTGAAAAATACAGCAAATGAAATTAAAAACTGGCAGCATATATTTAAAATTAGAATGACTATGATAGGATAAAGAGTCTAGGAACTAGACAAAATATCTATAATATTTTTAGCATCTGAATGATGTTTGTTGTGGTTGTGGTTGTTGTTATGTTCCGTAGATTGAGAATCAACTCATACAGGTTAGTTCAGCAGGTTTTGAGAGATAGCAAATTACATGGAAGGAGATTCCCCACATTCCTCCTTTAGATAAATGGTGGATTTGAACAGTGTACCTTTACATTGATAGTGCAATTGCTTGTCACTAATCCACCACAAATTCCATCTGAATGGAAAGAAGATCAATTAACAAAGTCCCAGGGACCTATGAAACATCAACAACATACTTACTATTCATGTTTTTAACATGAACAAAGAAGAACCAGAAGTACAATGTCAAAATTTATTTTAAGATATGATAAATGAAAACTTTCAAATTTGACAAAGATTCTCAATATATTTACTTAAAATGACAAAGAAACTTCAAACACAATGAGTAAAAATAAATCTACACTCAAATAAGTCATAATAAGACTGCTAATAAAAGTCAAAGAAAATATTTTAAAAGATGACATATTAAAGTTATGCATCAATGTATAGGAAAAACATTCAAAGGTCTATGAATTTCTCTCAGAAAGCAACAAGGATTAAAAAAAAAAGTAGCATGATATTTTGATGTGACCAAAAGCAAACAAACTAGAATTATAACGTCAGGATTCTGTAACCAAATATCTTTCAGTAATGAAGGTGAATTTAAAATGAAGAAGTACCAAAAAGAATTCATTGTCAGTAAATATGCTCTAAATTAAAAATTTAGGAGATTATTTTATCAGAAGAATACTTTGAATGCCAAATCTTAAAGAACACTGAAAATGACAAATACCTGGGTAAATACGATATTTTTAATCGAGTTCATTAAATTAATAATTATCAAAAGGAAAATTATGAAGTCTGATGGAAGTCTCAAGGGATGTACATAAAATAATATATAAAATAAAGATAAAAGTATAAAGAGGCTCTTATAATGGAGAGATCACCACATTTTAAAAAGTGGTATAGTATTGATTTTAAGTAAACAGTGAAAGTTTTTGCATACCTAAATATCTTTATCGAACTGTTCAATAAATTTTACAAAGGTATAAAATCATTAATATTATATTAGACACTCTGGTGCCCTAGTGGTAAAAAGCTGTGCTGCAATCTCAAAGGTGCTAAGGCCACCAGCTGCTCATCAGGAAAAGAACAGGCCTTCTCTGAAAACCCACCAAAGGGGCAGCTATTAGTTGGTTCTGACTTGATGGTACACAACAAAAACAACAATATTATGTTATTGTTCCTTTCAGGAGCCTTAAAATTGTTCCAACTCAAAACAACTCTGCTTACAATAAAAGAAAAGCCTGCCTGATACTGTACTGTCCTCATAATCTCTGCTGTGCTTAAGCCCATTTTTATAGCCATTGTGGCAATTCATTTTCGTCCCTTTACCTGGCCTTCAACTTTTATTATAGTGTTGTCAGGGACGTCTCCAAAACACTGAGAAGCAACAACATCAGTCCAGAGACTAAGGTGCACCTGATCCAGGCGATGGTCTTCGCAATTACTTACTATGCATCAAAGAGCTGGACAATGACTAAGGATGACAGAAGTAGAATTTGATACCTTTGAGTTGTGCTGGAGAAGAGTCTTGAACATACCATGAACTGCCAAGAAAACAACTAAGTTTGTCTTGGAAAGGATAGTTTCTCCTTGGAGGCTAGGATTTTGAAGCTCTGTCTCACTGTGCTTTGGGCACATGATCAAGAAGGACCGGTCCTGGAAGAAGGACATCATGCTCTGAAGGGTGGAGGGGTAGCACAGGAGAAGAAACCCCAGATGAGACACATTGACACAGTGGCTATCGTAAAGGGATGTTGGAGTCAGTGAGAGTAGCTCAGGATAGAGCATGCTTCAGAGCTGTTTTACATAAAGTCGTTATGAGTCACAGGTGACTCGAAGGTACCTAATAACAATAAGAATATCTAATTTGTGTATATTGCATATTGTTGTAGGTGCCAACAAGTTGGCCAAGACTCATAGTGACTCTATGAATAATAGATGTGAACCTTCTCTATTCTGTGTCATCCTCATAATCTCTGTCCTGTCCAAGCCCATTGCGATAGTTACTATATCAATCTATCTCATTGAATGTCCCTCTTTTGCTGACCTTCTATGTTTTCCAGTCTCTCTTCAAGAAGTAGTTTCTCCTGAAAATATACCCAAAGCAAGTGAAATTAAGTTTCATCATTCTTGCCTCCAAGGAGCACTCTGGTTATACTTCCTTCAAGATAGAATTTTTTTTGTTGGTTTGGAAGTCCATGATGTATTCAAAACCCTTCACCAACACCACAACTTTAAAATTCACAGCAAGTGATTGAAAATACCATGAGTTGGGTCAAGTATCCCATAGTCTTTAAACTGACATCATTGTTCTACAGCATTACTGAGATGTTTCTTGAAAGCAGATATGGGCAATGTAATGACTCCTTTTGATTTCTTGACTATAATGGGTGATAATAGTGGATCCAAGTAAAATGAAATAATTAGCAACTCTAATCTTTTCTCCATCTATCAAGATGCTGCCTATTTGTCTAGTGTGAGAATTTTGTTTGCTTGATGATGCAATGTAATCCATATTGAAGGCTATAGTCTTTGATTTTATGCAAAAGGAGCTTCAAGTTTTATTCACTTTCTACAAATAAAATTGTATCATCTCGATAACACAGTCATTGATCAATATTCTTACAATCCTGAAGCCACTTTCTTCTTCATATAGTCCAGTTTCTTATTGCTAACAAATCTGAACTCTTAGCTAACCCTCCTCCAGCTGGTTTCTACAGCTTTACATCCCATGTAAGAGATTTCTCATCTTTCTCCTGCAGAGCTCTAGTGGAATAGAATGGCCAGAGA